GTTCGGTCAGTCAGTTCTTAGCCGTTATCCTCTGGCAAGTGCGTCGCGTAAAGGATTAAAAAGTTTAAGAATTTATCGGAGTCATTCTGCGCCTAGTGTTTAGTGTGGATTGTGACTATGTATTTCGTGTCTTGTGGACACTACGGACGGAATAATTTCGTTGCATGTGTACTCGTGCGGATATTTCGTTTCGACGCATAGAAAAGGCATTCACCCTCCTGACTCGAAAATCCCATAGAGCGAGTTTCGATACGCTCTTGCGGATTAAGCGAGTGATTAGGTTGAATGCCAAGATACATCGCATTAAAATAATTTCCCATCTCCAGCACCCGAGGTAAGCCCACAAATTTCTTATAGGTACGGTCCTACTTTCGGTTATCGACATGCATCGATCGGCGGTGATCAGCTGAGCGTATGCCGAAAACGTCCGTCGATGCAAGGCGGATTGTCAATTTTAGGGGCAAAATCATCGAATTTTTAAATGTTAATAACTAATTAACGAAGCTCTAAACGCAATTTTTTCTCTCTTGATTTTCGATTTATTTTCGACCAAAGAACTCGTCCTTAAAATATTGCCCACTAGTAGGTTTACACCCTGTATATCCATCTATTATTCAATTTATCCCAAACCAGATTTATTCTAACTCCTACAATTAATATCTATTTCTCACGTGGCCCTCACAAATTCTAACCCCTTTGTATCATTCCACATATCCCGATATTCATCCCATTCATTAATATTCAAATGTATAGATGAATCAATTACCGTATATTGCGTTGCACATCCTCAACCAGTCCTCCACCTTCCAGTATATCCGTGTATATTCCACAATCCTGGCTCTCGATCAAAGCACTCACTGCGTCGTAATCCATTAATGCGCGCCAAATTATTCACCGTCCCGCTCGGATTCCTCTTTGTCTCCTCCCCTCCACGTGTCTATTTCACCAACACTTATTCGCCCCGTCGGTTCTCAACCTCTGCACTCACGTTTCCCATACCATTTCATTAATCGCACGAAATCGTAATTCACTAATTTACTCGTTCTTCCCCTTTTCAAGTTACCATATTGATACAATTATAGAGTTCCATCTACCATTTTATGCCCGCCATTATACAGGCGGAGTCCGTAGCATTCAAATGTTTAACGATTAACCATTACGTATCTCACTTTCATTATTAACCCCACTTCACGGACAACATTGATTTCAGAATTTTACAATCAACTTTTTAACAGAAACGTTCTCAGCATTATACCCAGCAATTTCACTTTATTATCTTTCAAACAGTCGACCATATATTTTATTTACTGCACACGGTACGTTACCATTGAGCCGACCATTCTACGCACAATTCTTCCCATTGTCTCCAACGTAAATACACGTCCCATAGAAAAAAGAACCCCATTTACCGAGAAAAGAGCAGACCCCCTGCGTCATTCGCAAACATGTTTACCACTCGAGTTCTTTTTCATTCCTCATTGTCAACAGAGTAATTTTAATGTTATATATATTCTTCTATTACCCGATACTCTCCCAAACTAGATTTATTCCAACTCCCATATTCACTCTGCATATCCTCGCATACCCTTCGCAAAAATTCCTAACCCCTTCATAACATTTAGCACATCACGGCAATCACCCAATTAATATTCAAATGTACTAATAAATTGATTACCGTATAATGCATTGCACTTCCTTAGCCAGTCCGTCACCTTCCAGTATATCCGCTCGTATTCCGTATTCATGGCTTCTCGATCAAGACGCTCACTGAATCGTAATCCATTAATGCGCACCAAGTTATTCACCGTCCCACTTGGATTCCTCTTTGTCTCCTCCCCTCCACATGTCCATCTCACCAACACTTAATCATTCCATCGGTTCGGCGTACTTTCACTAACACATTCTCAACCTCCGCACTCACGTTTCCTATATTATTTCACTATTAGTTCAAAGTCATAATTCACTGATTCACACGATCTCCCCTTTTCAGGATACCACGTTGCCATATTTACGCACCCGTTGTCCATACAATTATAGAGTTTCCATCTACCATTTTATGCCCGCCATTATACAGGTGGAGTCCATAGCATTCAAACATTTGATATTCACAACAAATGAATGAAAGAAAGAAAGAAAGAAAGCCCGACCCACCTTTCGTCCTCTCGATTCGCTTAACAGGTGTCCGTCCCGTAACAATACACTGTTCAAACCCTCTCTATTATGCGTCTCTGCCCAACCCGAGGCAACAGGTAGAAGTTATTTGCCCTCTCTCTCAACAGATACAGCCGAACACTACCGTCTCACTCTGTTTCAGCCGTATCCTCGTAGCTTGCGTCTTTATTACTTGACAGCACTTGTCTTTCACTTACTACTTCCCCATTCTGAATATATAACAATTAACAACACTCATTGTTTCATTCAATATTTCTACTCCTTCTCTCTTTCCTTCTTTTCTCTCTCCTTCCATTTCCTTTTTCATTATTATTATTATTATTATTATTATTATTATTACTTCAATTCCTTTACACGTAACATTCAGGATACAAAATTTCAATCACTTCTTATTCATTTATCACTTCGATATATTCTTAACATTCTATTGCCTGTGACTATCCACAGGTCAGTTTCCCGTCCCTTTCTTACGGCCTAAAATAAACTTCTCAAGTGCTAGGTAAGTATCCCGCAGAGTCGAAGCTCGTCCCAAAAAATTTGTACCAAACATTGAATTCCTCTATTCACCGTAAACAAGCCCTTTCTTTCCTTACACATAAACACACGATTCTGTTTAGTACAGTCCCTGCAAACAATCCAGCTCTTCGTCGTCTCCGTTTTAACGGTTTCAATCCCTCAATTAATTAAGCTTCATCACAATTGCAAAAAAGGAAAAACTAAAGGAACAAACCATAGTTATATTCCAAATTTCATATAGGTTCCATAAGAATCAATACATTGTTTAACATTTAAATATTCTAAAGTATGCTCCTGTGACGTCCTGGAGGAGGAAACGTCACAGTTGAGGATGGGATGGAGATTAGGAAATGGACCGGACGACGGACCTGAGCGCCTCGGAGCGGCTCGAGGGTCACTCAGGTATGTAATTATTATTTATTTATAAAAACGAATTATTTTATTTTTAAATTTGTATTTTTCTTCTGTTATTAGGATTGGGTCGTCCGGCAGGAATGTGGGTTCGCCAATTCTCGGAGACACCCGGTAGACGCTTACACGTCCCGACAGGTGCTTGGAATTGGATTTTTGGAAAGGGCTTTATAAATAGGAATTCTGAATAAATTTTATAACAAATATCAATTTTATTTATTATCCTCTATTTAATTGCACCCCAAAAATAGTATAATTTATTCTACGTTTTGCATGTACTTTTTATAATCCTGAATATATCTGACTAGTAATTCAGTTGGGAATTCGTAATGATTATTAATTTTAACTGCCGTATCTGTATCTATAGTCGGTATCTCAGGGGTTTCCTCGTCATCCGATATCACTATTGTGGATGCTTGCGACGGCGGAGAGTAACAAGGCCCTTCAGGGTGACTCGAAATTCGGTTTTCCTCAGCCAGCCGGAGTTGTTCTCGTATTTCGTATAATATTTTATTACGGAATTTCTTTTCTCTTTCCCTTTTTCCGGCTCTGCGTTTTCTTTTATTGGGCCTTCTTTTATTAACTCGTCCTGACTGCGTATTGAATATAATTTAGATAAATTACTCTTATTAAATTATTCTATTATTCCATAAACAACTCTTACGGTGTTCGTGTCCTTTTCCATTTCAAAAGATCCGGAGCGCCTACAGGACTGCTCTATTCAGGATCCGCTATTCTGAAAACTCCAGGTCGGCGGGAGCGCCTACAGGACTGCTCTAATCACACTGGCCCTTCGTTTAGTTGAGGGGAGCGCCTACAGGCCTGCTCCACCGTTCAACCCCCTAACAAATCTGTCAGAATAGGACAAAACACTTTGAAATTGTTTATAATTCTATTATTTGAAATAATTATAAATTGGAATTTATTATCAATGTAACAATTAGGACGAGTATGAAACTAATGTATTTAATAAAGAGATTATGAAGGATAATGAATAATATGTGGTTAAATGATTATTTAATTATATAAATGTTGATTATAAACGATTATACTTTAACTTTTACATATATGTTAATATGGTCCTTTTAACACTTAAATTAGTTGTTTAATATTTTATAAGAATATAAAGTTTACTTATTATAATTAACACTTTGTTGGTTTTACAATAATTTGGATTAATAATTATATAATGATATATGATTTATAATGACTCTCCAAAGTATAACACCCACTGAATTGATTAACTTGTAATTAATAGTTTGAAAACACTTAAATTGAAGACACTTGATGAATAATTCACGTAGTAACAATTGTAGAGTAACACGGTTACGTCCGTCGAGTAACTCAGAGTAACGCAGTAACGTCCGTCGAGTACTTCAGTGAGCGGGAGAGTAACGCGGTAACGTCCGTCGAATACTTCAGTGAGCGGGAGAGTAACGCGGTAACGTCCGTCGAATACTTCAGTGAGCGGGAGAGTAACGCGGTAACGTCCGTCGAATACTTCAGTGAGCGGGAGAGTAACGCGGTA